TTCCTTCCTTCCTTCCTTCCTTCCTTCCTTCCTCCCTCCCTCCCTCCCTCCCTCCCTGATTAGGATTCAACACTGTCTTAATCAATTTTGCTAGTGTTACACAGAAAAGCATTCTATCTTTCATAAGCATGGCTGCACAGTGAGGGATCAAGGACTGGAATTCAATCCCCCAATTTTATGAAAATCTGCAGGAATAGAAGACCATCCCCATTCTTATGAGTCCCTCCTCAAATGACCCAGTTCACTATATTTCTGCTTTTGGGGGGAGGGTTAAGGGTGGCAATGGATTAATCCACCTGACGTAGAGCACTGTCTTTCCTCTTTGTTTCTCCAGGAGAGTGAGGAAATGCCAGGAAGCTAAGTATAGATCCAATATTTGACACTTAGCAGATGGGAGAATGGTTGGATTGTATGTGAGTGTGAATAAATTATACAATTAGGATTATTTCACATATTTGTTGCTTCTATGGCCTATGGATTAGGCTGCTCTAAGCATCTGAAAAAAAGGGCTTTGCCGAGCATGTTCACATCAGCAAAGCATCATCCTTAAAGCAGCCATGTCCTTTGGAAAGCTCATACAGCTGCTTCAGTGTGCGCACAGACTTTGGGAGTGCCAGCAAAGAGAAGTGACTGGGGAAGTGCACACATGCACAGACAACCAGGAACAGCCCTTGAAGCCCCTCCCTTTAGACTTTCAAAGAATGCAGTTGCTTTAATGCATCAATGAGGGATGCTTCACTACCTCTAACATCCTTTGTGAGACATCTCTTTTAAATGTTTTCTGCAGCCAGCTGTAGATAACAGTGGATGCAACGAATAGTAAATATACACATATATATATGCACTAGCTGTCAATTTTGAAAAGTTGATGAGCTGGACATGAATTCCTACTTAACGATATCCCTTTTCAGACCATTTTGACAAATGTGGCTGGCTAAACTGTGTAGAGGAAAGTGCACGATTATAGGGATGTGTGTGCATTATGTGAGTATATGTTTATTCTCTACCTAAAATCCACAAATGCCTAGCAAACTATAAAATACACCTGCCGACCACAGATGTTCTGATGTTGATCAAAGGTTTTTTAAGTTACTGTGGAGTAGCTTTAGAAAAGAAACATAGATGATTCCAAAGTAAGGCATGTGCAGTAGATGAGTATGGCCAAATAACCTTCAAGTTGGCCATGTCATTTAAGGTATATAGAGTTAATCCCCAAGATGCAGCTTGAAACACACTTCATATTTCAATAGGAAACATTCCTGAAAAACTAAGTTTGTGGAAGCAGGAAGAATGGTGGAGTTTATAAGAAAAAACAGATTCTAGAATAAAAGATTTTGAATGCTTGAGCCTACTGCCATCTAGTGGTTCAATTCACCATCTAAATGCATTTTAGAAAAATTAAAGGCCACTTTTTGTCTTAGCATTGAATGTCATTAATTTGTTATCCTTTCCTTGATTTTTTTTTTCATCTGTATTGAGATCTAGTAGTAAGGTCTTCAAAACTGCATTTATGAGACACACAGGTTTTTGAGACCTATAGAAAGAATCAGGACGATCTGATACAAGATCCCACTTAAGCTTCTAGAGTCTTTGGGTACTTATTAAAGGAATTTGTAACTTTTCTCTTTGCCTTCTTAGAATTTTGCAGATGTGTCTATTGTGTATACAGGTATACACAATATATAGGTATTGTGTATGCAGGTCCTCACAGTGATATATCAAATGCTAGTAATAGAAGTAAAATATATAAATATTATACCTATACAGCTATATAAAGGTAACTAGATATATTAAAAACATTTTACTTTTCTCTTTTTAAAGTCCTATAATGAGAAAGTATTTAAAGGTGTTTCTTTTCTTTTGTTTATTGTTTTGCTATTTTCTTGTCATTCTTTTCTTGAGAAAGTGACTCTCGAAATATTCAGATGAAATGAATTGTATATTCATATTGCTAGAATGTATGGACTTAGCTCATTCTAGAACATTGCTGGAATGCCTAGCAGTAATTTCCTTTCTTGGTGCAGAAATAAT